TTCCTAGCCCCTTTACTTTAGATTTTCTTGAGTGCAAATAGAGTATTGGTAACTTTTCTTACCTTTTCTCCTGTTGCCTGGACAGTTGCCTGTCTCTCTGGCTGCAGGCAACTTTCTTCAAACTGTGTTGGTGATTACTCACAGGTAGAATACATTTTATGTCATGACCCTGTGCATCTACACACTCCCAAACACACAGACAGACTTTCATGAATTGATACTTTATCTTAGAATGTGAAATGTTCTCTGCTGGTATTTGTGTTTCTGTTTTAGACCATGCTATTCTTTTTCATTTTTTCCCCCAAGTGCTATTATTTGAACTCACTAAATTGATTTAATGTCATGACCTGTGGTTTTAGAAAACAAATTGGCTTAAGGTGGGTGGGAATGGAGATTTGCGATGTTCTGCTTAACTTGAACAAAGTTAACAACACGACCAACTGGCTTAAAAGATACCCATGTAGGAGTGGAAAACTCTGCTTTTGCTAAATGGAAACATTCACTTGCAAGTTCTCGCTGGCCCTCCAACATCACTTTGGGCCACAAAGGCACTTTCGTATTGGGGGTTGAGCTGCCTGGGAATCCACAAATAGCCAACTTGTGAGTCCTCATTCTTACCTTTGGATGCTGTTTCTCCGTAGCCCTCAGCAATGCCCTCCACTCCCTGGATGGGGCTACATCTCGTGCAGATTTTGTGGCCTTGTTGGACCAGTTTGGCAACCATTACATTCAGGAAGCGATTTATGGCTTTGAGGAGTCCTGTTCTATCTGGTACCCAAATAAGCAGGTCCAGCGGCGACTCTGGCTGGAATACGAGGACATCAGCAAAGGTGAGTGTCATGTTGTTGGAAGACTCCACACTCCATGAAAGTTCAGGCTTCCTATGCACAATGTGGCATCAAACTTAAGAAGTCTGTAGTGAAAGGACAAGTTCAGAGTTTCAGAGTTTCCCTCTGCTATGTGTCCCTCCTTAAAATTTCCAAGGTTTGGTTGCTAAAACCAAATCTCAAAATGAGTGTGTTTGAGGGAATTTTATTAATAGATACAGGATGAGGTTAAAAAAATAATAAATGGTTACTATGTCAGTTATCATGGTAAGGGTCCTCTAATGGTTTTTGCCAACCACCATCTGTTCTACTACCATGGCAAGAGCAATGTATTAAGCTACTTTGTAAAGTGGAGTAGGATAGGAGAATGGGTCCAGTCTCCTCTACCTACCTCCAATCTCCAACAATCCCAACCTACACTGTTTGAGATCCCCTTATAGCACCTACACAGTGAACCTTCTCTCACTCTACCTTACCCTGTGTTTAGGGTCATTTTTCCTACTGATTTGTGTTATGAGGAAATCTCCATAGGCCCAAGCGTTTATATAGCTCTCAGTAACAACTTCACAAATTAATCCTTGTCTGCGGTCAACAGCAAGTTTGTATTCTGTCCAAGTAAGAATAAGAAAATGGAATTTTTCAAGGCTTCTGAGTTCACCTTCTGGTATAGTAGGAATACCGGCCAGTATATTTGTAGATTGATCAACCAAGACTGCTTTCGAATTGCCATTCATGGAATTTCGTCTGAGCTTATCTGCATGGCATTCTGATGAGGCCAAGTTGTAGAGATATGCCTTGCTAAAGGGCAAGTGATGAATTAATACAATGAAAACTCAAGAAATAGGTCCTCTTAAAATTCAGTGATCAAGAGTCTCCCTGAGACAAGGGACTGTCTGCTGTCAGTGGGCTGCCCTCGTAGATGTGCCCCGGTGGCTGGGATGCTCTTGGCTCTTTGAGCATACAAATTCCCATTCTGCCTGTGCAAGAGGTGACAGAGCCATGATGCTTCTCTTCTGGCTGGGTATTTTCTCCTGGAAGAAGCAAGTGATTTGTGTGTGGGCTACAGCTGCTGAAGGCATTATCTCCCAAGCCCTAATTCCTCTCAACTCAAAGACACTACCACAGGTCTCTGGTACCCCTTCAAACATCAGGATTTATTTTCGTTTGTTGTACTGATTTTTTAAAATTTATTTTTAAGTTTATTTTGTATATTCCTTCACTGTATATCACCACAGCTTGTAAAATGAATTTTCCCAGCATGATATCTTTATCACAGACACCAGTCCAGTTAAAGATATCAGACATGTTCTCATCAACAGTCAGTCCTCTATTTCTGTGACCCTTTAATGTCCCGCCTCTGTTTTTCTCCTTGATTCCTTTCCTCTCAACAAACTTTAGGATCTTAATATTAATAATTTTATTTCAATTTGCCAAGAGAGCAGTGTAATATAAGAAATGTAGGCAAAACTATTGGTTTGTCAGAAAAGTTATGACATGTTTTTCTGTGCAAAAATGCATCATGACTTTTCCAAAGACCCAATAATTCCAACTGGCAAGGCTTTCTTATGGTTCCATAACAGGACTGAACCAAAAAAAAAAAAAGACTTCTATTTCAGTTTTCCAGTGGTTCAAGGATTGCTGGGGCCTGAGATTTTTTTTTTTCTTTCTTTTTCTTTTTTTTTGGGGGGGGAGGGGGGAGAGGCCTTTGCTATAGGGTACGTGCACTCACCAGAAAGACAGAGAGAGACAGAGACAGAAAGCAAGAAATCACCCCTCAGGGAGTATGGCCAGGCCACAATTCCTTCTCCTCTATTCTCCTCCTGGGTTCTTGGGCACGCACGCATATGCACTTGGTGTGAGTTCAAGCCACCAGGTCCAGGACTCGAACCACGGTCGACTACATGGGAGTCCAACAATGTAGCCATTACACCAACCGCTGGTCCCTGGGGCCTGAGATTTCTGGAAGATGAGAGTTTGACTTCACCCAGAGCTTTTGCCTCTATACCTTGCTTTTACCCTGAGCACCATAGTGTCCTTAAATTAACCTTCACACTAAACCTAGAGAGAAATTTGTCCCTGGCCTTGTCATTATGCATCTCCTTCTTCTTGACCTCAAGTCTCTCTCGCCACTCAACAGCTAGTTTTGGCACAAACTGTTCATTTTGGTTCTCTGAAATATGACTTTTATAACTTCTTATTATTGACCCTGAAAGATAGTCAGATATTTTAGATATTCACATTATTTTGGTATCTGCCAATTATCCATGTCAACCACTCAATTCATAAGCCTTACCTCTAAGTTATAGGGTTTGGTTATTTTGCTGTGTTTATGGTTTTTACTGTTAAATATTTCTCTCTTTCTTAAGCAATGCTTTCCTTTTATTCTAGAACCCTGCATGAGGGCATGCTACTGATTAAGAATGATAAGCATTTAAGACAAAGGAAAATGTTCTTCTGTTCTGCACTCTGAGAGGACTGGTGCAGAGTGGAACTTTACACTAGAGGTGACAAGTATACTAAGAGGACTATACCTACCATGACAATCAAGTGACATTGTTGGGGCCATTTCAGTCCTTTGGTGATATGTTCCTGCCTGCTCCTACTTTAAAATTCCACTAGTGAAAAGGGTGTTTATGTTCTTTACTTTTGTAGCTGTGACTAGGTACCTAAAAGTTTTTATAAATGGAATAAAAAGTTTGTCAGAGCGAAATGAAATGGAAAGAGCACAGAATGTAGGGGTTGAAAATCTGGGATCAACCAAGCAATGTTGACCAGTCAGTTGCAAATCAGGACCTCATCTGTAATGCCCTCTAGGATCTACCAGCTCTGATAGCTTATGGGTCCTTATGACTCTCCCTTCATGAGGGAAGTACTCTCAGGTTAGGCATTTGAGTAAAGTGGTCTCCTATTCTCTCTACAAAATTCTCAAGAGTAAACTCCATACCTCATTCACTTTGAATTTGCAGAATCGTTTGTAGCATAGAGCAAGGCACTAACAGCTAAAGTTTATGGGGGTTGCTGTTGTTGTCAGTGACAGTGTTAGTAATGCTGGTAAAGCCCTTCTGATCAATGACTTCCTTGTGGGTTTTCTTGTAGACATGTAGCATGCTGTAGTTATGCCTATCGGTGAGAATTTAGGATCGGATATTTTTAGCCAGCTCTTCACGAGGAAGCCCTCCATTTCAATGGAGGGCTTAGTGGTCATACTACCATTATGTGGTTTGGCTACATTTAGGATAACCTGCTTCTAGATAAATCTGATGGGAGCCCATGAACCTCTACATCTATTTATTTTATTTTAGTTTTTTGCCATAGGACACATGTGCTAGCCAGAGGAGAAAGACAGAGATCTAGAGAGAAGGAAAATGAGCAATCACCACACAGGGGCTGTCCATGCCACAATCCCTCCTTCACTTTCCTCTCAGAATTTTGGGCACACATGTATGTGTGCCCAGCATGAGTTTCAAGCTGCCAGGTCTGAGACTCAAACTGTGAAAACCCAGCCACTTTAACCACCATGCCACCTGTTGGCTCCTCTATGTTTGTTTGTTTGTTTTGTTTGTTTGTTTTTTTACTTTTCTAAGATTATTGTATCTATCTTAATTTTTTTTACAGAGTAAATAAAGATTATCAGAGAGGGAATTTCCCAATCTCCTCATTTTCCGTGTCTAAACTTACATCTACTCGCACTCTTTTTTACTTACATGTTTTTAACTGTGTCACTCCATGGAAACGGCAGTGGAACAGGAAATCAAGGGCTTCTCCCTCAAAGGGTCACTGAAATCTGTGCTGGACCATTCCTTCTATCTCAGCTAATGAATGTATCCCCCCCTTGACCAGGTTCATCTTCTTTAAAATGCTCTCTTCCCTTGGTGTCTCCAGTCTCATTCCATTCAGATTCTCATCATAAATCTTAGGTCTATATTTTTTATTCTTTCTTGTCTTTATTCCTCCAAAAAACACATTTGCAATGGGGCCACTTTCCAGGCCTTCATCCTTACCATATTTCCCTTCTTCACCATTGCTGGATGTTGCCCTTTTCATGTACTTGAAGCTTCACCTCTAATCCTCTTCTTTTCCTGACGTTCAAAATGTCATTTTGATTTTGAGTGTTTAAACTTTCTGCTCAGATATTCTAGAAGTACCTCAGCCATCAACTTTTCTTTTCTCTTCTCACATCCACTTTTAGATTCATGAACTTCATTGATGGGTCAAAATGTAAAGTGAGGAGTTCTTGTTGTTCTTCTCCATCCACATGCAAACATTATGAAGTCCTGTCTTTTTCACCAACTAAATATTTCAACAGGTATTTCTTCCTCTCTATTTCTTCAAGGCTGTATGCATTTACAGCATCAACTCTCATAAAACCTATTGAAAGAGCTTCCTTATGCATCTCCTTTGCTTCAGTTTTCTGCCACCCTACTCCATTCTGCAGTCACCATCTGTTATCTTTCTTAAATGCAATTTAATGACATCACTCCTCAGCTTGAAGCCCTTCGCTAACTCCTCACTGCCTTCTCAAGCATGAACAGCATGGCTTCCCTCCCTCTGTTAGTTCCCTATGACTGTTGTAACAAATTACCGTAGTAGCTTAAAACAACACAAATTTATCCTCTTACAGTTCTGGAGGCCAGAAGTCTAAAATCAGCCTTATTGAGCTAAATTCAAGGTATTAGCAGGGCCGGTTTCATCTAGAAGTTCTGGGGGAGAATCTCATTCCTTGCCCTTTCCAGCTTTTGGAGACCACCAGCATTCTTTGGCTTGTAGTCCCTCTCTCCATCTGCAAAGTGTGTCACTCCATTTCTGAGTCAAGTGGTCTTCTCTGTCTGTGACCTCTCTGCATTCCCCTTTTTAAAGAATCCTAGTGATACCATTGGGCCAACCCAGATAATCCAAGATAGTCTTCCCATCTCAAGAATCTTAATTTAATCACATCTAGAAAATCTCCTTTGCCACTCACAAAGGTAATGTTAAAAAATTCCAGCAATCAGGACTGTGGGGGG